CGCGTGAGTCTTGGATGTTAGATGAGAAAAATTTTAAATAAATAAATTATTGAACATTCGAGTAAACTATAATTTTACTCTTTTTGCTCTTTTTCAACAAGGAAAGAATTTTTTCGAATAAAGCGAATATTACAGATTCGATCACGTTCGAACGTGTCAGGGTATTAGATGAGAAATTAAAAAAAAAAATCATCATAAAATCATGCGGAAATTATTTCAAGAAGAAGAAGAAAGTAACGAAATATACAATAGAAGTACGAGTAAGAAATATTTTATAAATGTTTAAAATTTATTAATGTTTAATTTGTTAAATGTTTAAAAATTTGAAGAAGCGAGAACTTTCCCCAAATTTAAATAATTATTTATTTGGACGTGTTATATATCTGGCGCCGTTTATACGCCGTTAATAAACAAAAAAAAAGTGAAATCGAAAAAGGGTCAAGCTACAAGTAATATAAATTTTTCAAGAAAAAATGATTTATTATTTGGGCTGAGATAGCATTCTTATTCTCACGCTCTCGAAACTACAAGATAATTCTATAATTTTTTATAAATCTCTTTTGAAAAAGATTTTCCCTATAAATAGTGCGTCTTGCGCTATTGGAAATCTATTCCCGAGTTGAACTCTGCTGTGTTTCATTTTGGTTTTGTCGTGCAGAATTTAAAAGTTTGTGTTCGCGATATTTTGTGCGAAAAATGTGTAGTTATTAGAAAAATCATAAAGCTAGCATTGAGGTTGGATATCCGCATAAACGAGAACAAATTTTTGTCTAAAATATCCAATGTTTCGCTCGATGATAATTATCTAGTTTTTACTCGTTTTTCGTGTGAGTGTTCAGATATAATATTAGGGGCAATTATTGCTGTATCAATTGGGACACTTCGCTGGCGATGAGCGTTTATTCCGGATTTCCGGATTGCCGGAGAAATAATTGAAACGCGACGTGCGGTTGGAAACGAGGAGGAAGATGGTGGATGGACACATTCAAAATCTCCTCTCTCATCTCCATAATGATAAGTGGCTCTCTATTATTTCCATAAAAGTAACTCGTATATCGAACTCGTGGTTTAGCTAATTTTTAATAATAAATTGTAGCAAGAAATGCGCGTCAAAGAGCTACAGCGATAGTGTATCCACTCACGCAGATTCGGAGGCGACGCGCGGAGGACGAGCCAGAAGCAGGACCAGCACGTAAATAATTTCGCTAAAAACTAGCTAGGAAGAATGTTAAAATGTAATTTTTACAATTTTTTAAGATTAAAATATTAAATGCTTTTAGGAAGGGCTCGTATTTTACCTACACAGGAATTGGAGGAGGAGGAGGAGGAGGAGGAGGAGGAAGAGGCGCCTCTGGAAATTATCCAACTATCATCTGGTAGGTTTACATTTTTAATAAATAATCTTTAAAACAAATGGTAAAAGCTAGAAAATCTTAATACAACTCTGTTTTTAGATGCGGCGATAAGTACTCTCGATCAGCGTGTGTTTTCATCTGGTAAGTTGATAGAGAAAAAATATTAATTAAAGTACATAATATCTGTATTAATCAAAGGACATAATAATAATATCAAAAATAAAAATTTACGATATATTTTTTCTTAGAATAAGATCATATGTACTCCCTCATAATCCCAGAGGAAAGAATTTGGAGCGAGGAAGAAGGGGAAGAAGAAGTGCAGAAAGAAGAAGAGGAGCAGCAAGAAAAAGAGGAGAGGGAGAAAGAGGAGGAAGAGGAGGGGGAGAAAGAGGAGATGGAGGAACGCGAGGAAGAACCCGAAGAAGGCGAAGAGGAAATTAGAGAAATACTGACTGGTATATAATCTTTTATCTTAATTTCTCGATTTATGTTCGTATTTAATTTTAAATTATCGAATTTTTTAATAGGACTTCCTCCCAGTCTTATTCTCTACGCGAGAAGGAGCCGGCGATAAAAGGCGTTATCTCAGAAAAATATGTATGTTTATTAAATTAAATACGAATATAATATTCTAAGCAATCTCGAAGTATTTTCTATAAAATTCTAATTTTTGTAATTTTTGTACAGAAGCGAACATCGAAGAGCCGCAGCGTGGAGGAGGACTTGCTGCTCAGGAAAATTTGGAGGAGGGGGAGGTGGAGGAGGAACAGGAAATAACAGACGAAGAAAGGAAAGAGAAGGAGAAGGAGATGGCGGTGGAAGAAGGAGGTCAAGTGGAAGAGGAGGAGAAAGGAGGACAAGTGGAAGAGGAGGAGGAAAGAGAACAAGCACGAAATTTTAACAATTTAATATTGATTGGGGAAAATTCGCGCCGGTTTAGAAATTTTGCAATATTAAGAAGAGAGGCGATATTCCGTTTGCGTTCGCTACCCGAAGGAATCGATGTTTATAACTGGCTTGAAAACGCATTCGCCGAAATTTACGCCTACGTGTTACATACCTCCAAACCGCATGATTACGTGGGATTTTCATTCGATTCGGAGGATTTAACGCACGGTCCGGCGAGATTATCGTTTCGACCGGCACGCGACTTAACTCGTGAGGACATTTGGCATCTCGTGAGTTCGGTAGCGCAAAGCTCCGGAGGTTACGATGTCGCGCAGAATTTTAACATACGCGTTTTCAATGTCGCGACGCCTAGAGGTCGCGGACGCGTTTCGAATAAACTTACACGGGAAGACGTTGCAAAACGTTCGATTTTAACAATCTCCAATTCGGACAATTTATGTTTTCCTCGCTCTCTCGTGACCGCACAAATTTATCACGCGCGGAACGTTGCGTGCGAGAGAACTTCACGAGCGGTGGAATGTGGTAAGACATTAGAATTCCTCATTACAACGCGAGCTCGCGTTGGATTTGACGAGGAGAGCTGGTGTCACCATTCCACCGGAGGGTTGCGGGATTCGGGAAATAGAATGTTTCCAATGCTTTCTCGCCACATCCGATATCGTCATTATTGTTTATAATTCTGCTACTTTTGGACGCGGCGAGAGACCTTTATTCGACGGAAGCACGATACTCGCCTCTCTAGAACGCGAACCTTTATATCGATTAAATATTATATATCACGAACAACAACGACATTATAGCCCTATTTTAAATTTAAAAGCAGCCGCGGGGAGTAGAAGGGATTATATACCATGTAATATCGGGTATCGTGAAGAAAGGGGTCACCGCTGTTCAAATAAATGTTCTCGTTGTAACAACGTGCCATCGTGTGATCAACGCGAAATCGTAAAATTCGTTAGGTGCGAGACTTGCAAACGTTCGTTTTTCGGAAACGCATGCTTCGAACATCATCGTACGACAAAGTCGTAATGACGATAAAACTCCGACGAGCGTTTGTAACACTATTCGGCTCTGCGAAGGATGCGGGCGGGTTGTAAAAACGACAAAAAAACACGAATGCGGCGTTTCTTTTTGTAAAATTTGCAGTTTGCAAAAACCGGTAAATCATCTTTGCTACATGCAACCTCTCTCTCGCGAAGACAGATCCTCCATTGTTGAGTCCGGCGGAGATTCTTCTGTAATCGCGAGAGAGTGCGAGCAGAATAACTCGGGTGAGCGAGAATGCAAAAAGTGGCGAGCAACATTCGTGTTTTATGATTTTGAGATACGTCAAGATCAATCTTGAAGGAACCGATATAAAAATTCACGTCTCGATTCTGTGCGTCGCGCAACAGATTTGTGATTCGTGCGCGGAGATAGATAATTTGTCGGTGCGATGCGAGTGGTGCGGAGTACGTGAATTTGTTTTTCGGCAGGATCCAGTAAAACAATTTATCGAATTCGCAACACGTTCTACAAAACATTTTACACGTATTATTTGTATAGCCTATAACGCCTATAACGCGAAATCGTTCGATGCACAGTTTATCCTTCGGCATTGTAGAAAATTATTCCGGATTAGAACCTCGTATAATTTTGAACGGTACAAAAATTATGGTCTTAACAGTAAATCACATAAAATTTATCGACAATATTAACTATATGCCTATACGCTTGTCGGAATTACCGAAAGCCTTCGGGTTATCGGATAATTGTGACAAAGGTGTCTTTCCGTACTTATTTAATACTGCTGATAATCAAACATATGCCGGTCCACTACCCGATGTGCGTTATTACGCGCCCGAAACAATGCGAACAGAGGAACGCAAGCGTTTTCTCGCGTGGCACGCAGAAATGTCGGGAAAAAATGTAGTATTTGATTTCCAACGCGAAATACTCGAGTATTGTCGCACCGATGTTGATATCCTTCGCCGAGCATGCATGGCCTTCAGAAAAATATTCTTACAGCGTGTGTCCATTCGAGGAATGTACAACTATCGCTTCAACGTGCATGAGAGTTTTTCGGAAAAACTTTTTGCGCGAAGGAGAAATAGGAATCATTCCTTCAGATGGATAGATACAGGTTTAAAGATAACCAGTCGCGCAAAGCCGTGCAATGGTTAATTTTGAAGGAACGTAAGATCGATCATCGGATAATTCACGCGGGATGCGGACGCGAGTATCGTTTAGCGGAAGGCATGCTCGTTGACGGGTATTACGAATGCGAGAATGGGGGTGAGACGCGGCGTCATGTCTTGCAATTTCACGGTTACTTTTTTCACGGATGTCCGTCTTGCTACCCATTATACCGTGATAAAACGCTCAAAAATTTTAACGATACGTTTGACGCGCGTTACGAACGAATGGTTGCAGCGTCTTAGCGATTACGTCGTCAAGGATATATCCTAACGGAAAAATGGGAGTGGGCGTTTTCGAGGAAGAAATGCGCAGGAATCGAGAGATGCGAGAATTTCTTGAAAATCACCTCATGGTGCAAATCCCACCTCTCGATCCTCGCGATGCATTTTTCGGTGGACGCACCGGCAATATCGCGACTCGATACGAGGTTACGAGATACGAGAAGATACGGTACGTAGACGTATGTTCTCTGTACCCGTACGTACTCAAGACCGGAGTTTTCTCAATTGATCATCCGGATATTTATGTGAGCGAGGAATGCGCCGGTTTAATTGGAATCACGCCAAATTTTACTCCGATCAAGGGTCTCGTACGTTGCCGAGTACTCTCCCCGCGTGATTTCTTCCACCCGGTACTACCGTATCGCGTACGCAGCAAATTATTATTTGCTCTTTGCCGTACATGTTGTGAATCATTTTCTCGCGACGCGTGCACGATGATCCTGCGGAGCGTGAGTTCAAGGGCACGTCCTGCGAATTACACAAAGCAGTCGAAAAAGGATATCTCGTGACGCGGGTAGGCGAAATTTGGCAGTACAAATCCACGCAATATAACCCCGAAACGCGTCAGGGAGGGTTGTTTGCTGAACATATCAACACTTTTTTGCAACTGAAACAAGAGGTGAGTGGGTGGCCGAGCGAATGCAACGACGACGTTGCTAAAGAATGCTACTTGCGGGAGTATGAAGCAACCGAGAGTATCATTCTCGATAAAAACAACATCGTACATAATCCCGGCTTACGCTCCGTCGCCAAACTCTGTCTTAATTTGTTTTGGGGGAAATTCGGCCAGCGGAGTAACCTGTCGAATATGGAAATAATAAGATCCCTTCAGCGTTTCGCTGAATTGCTGTCGAGTCCTGAACACGAGATAGTCGGTGTATTGCCCGTCAACGAGGATGCGATATACGTTTCATGGCAGTTAAAGAGCGAAGCGATGGTACCTTCGCCGATAACTAACGTGGTGATAGCGGCATACACGACGGTACAGGCGCGATTAAAATTATATGAATATTTAGAAAAATTAGATCGTCGCGTATTATATTACGATACAAATTCTTGTATATATACGAGCAGCGGTGATCCCGAGGAGTACGAACCGCGTACAGGTAATTTTTTGGGTGACATGACCGACGAACTCGAGAGTTACGGGCATGGTAGCTTCATCGAGGCGTTTGTATCTGGCGAGCCGAAGTTTCACGCGTACGTGGTACGTACACCGGATGCACGAAAATATGAAATATGCAAGATAAAGGGGATTAAATTAAATTTTGAAAACTCGAGGCTGCTTAGTTTTAAGAGTATTTATAATTTATTATTAAATAGGGAAAAAGAGGAGGAGGAAGAGATAAATCTGCGATTTAAGACAATTCGCCGCATCGCGTTTCACGAAGTAATAACACGAAACGAGGTAAAAACGTGTGCTCTTGTTTTATTAAAGCGCAGATTCATCGACAATCATCTTTCTTATCCCTACGGTTTTACGATATAATATTTTACTTAAAATTAAATTAAATTAGGTTAAGGCTCGGATTTTCCCCGTCCTCCCGCAAGTGTAAATATGTATACAGGATAAATATGCATGTAAAAATTAAGATTCTTTTTTATTTTAGTCATAGTTTATTTTAGTATTAAATTTAAGAAAAAATGTAATTTGAAAAATGTATATTATGCGCAGTTTCGATTAGAAAATGTAAAATTACAAATGTAAATTTGCGTTTAGTTATTAAGAAAAAATGTAATAAAAATATTTATTTCTCTAATTGTAAGAAAAAGTATAATATAAAAATTTTGTAAAATTAAATTTTTAAATCCAATTTTTTCCCACTTTTCTATAATTTTCCTATAACTTTCTTTTATCACTAATTTTTTATACAGAAAATATTTTGAATTTACAATAGAGAATCTTTAAAATACTTTGTAAAATATCTTTTAAATTATAATCCTAAATTATAATCGCATAAATTACGATCTTTTAAATTATTTTGTAGAAGAAAAAGTTATAAATTTTTACGTCCGCAATAATAAGTATTCAATTATTTTTTCCGCAAGTAAGTTTCTCCGGCTTGAATTAACTTTCGAGGAGCATCGCATACAAGCTACGGTGCGACGGTGCTCTCGCGGTGGACGCTCGCACGAGCGTATGAGCGAAGCGTGGACGAGTACGAGCTTGTTACGCAAAGATGCTGGCGCGAGCACACCTCCGTCGCAGTGAGGCCCTTCCACGAGTAAGCTAATCTCAAAAATCTCTCTCAGAAAAAATCAAGAACCTCAAGTGTCCCATCCCTTTGTTTATTAATCTAAGTACGACGAGCAAAACGTTTATTTCGCGAAATGGATGTACGCTGGAAACATCCGTGGATCGTGTGCGGACCGACGGGATGTGGAAAAAC